CAGGTTCAAGCGATTCTCCTGCCTCAGCCTCCTGGGTAGCTGGGACTATAGGCAGGTGCCACCATCCCTGGCTAATTTTTGTGTTTTTAGTGGAGACAGGGTTTCCCCATGTTGGCCAGGCTGGTCTTAAGCCCTGGACCTCAGGTGATCCACCTGCCTCGGCCTCCCAAAGTGCTGGGATTACAGATGTGAGCCACTGCAATCATCTTGTCTCTACTGCATTATTATGTAGAGTCCCATTTTTAACACGAGATTCCAAAAATGTCAATATCAATTCTAATGTCATTCTAGTAGAGACAAAAAGAAACCCAATTTTAAGTGTGATTATTATGATGACCATTTTTATTATTTTTTAAGTGTGATTATTATGATGACCATTTTTATTTTTTTGTTTTTGTACGGCAGCAGAGTGAGCCTGCAGACCTGCAGAACCCCTCTTCTCCACCCGCATCTCACTCAGACTATAATGCAAGGTCCTCACCTTGACACTTACTCATCTCACTCTTCCAGTCTCTCAGATCTCCCTCTTGTTTCTGGAACATATTAGGTACTTGCAACCTCAGGGCCTTTGCACTTACTTTCCATGGAACATCATCTTCACAGTGAGGCCTTCCTTGGGCTCCATCTAAAAATTTAAACATCCATTTCCTGACATGTCATAACCCCCTTCATTTCTTTGTTATCTCCTTAACATTTATCTCAGCCTAATATTCTCTGTATTTTTCTCCTTTTTTCATTCCATGTGTAGTACTTATTTCTCTTGTCTGTCAGATTTTTTTCCCAAGTAGAATGTAAATCCCATGAAGTCTCAGGTTTTTGTCTTTTTTGGTGACTGCTGCCTTTTCAGTATACAGAACAGTGCCTAGCACATAATAGATGTTCAGTGATTTACTGGGACATACACGCTACACACTCTACTAAGAGTCATTATAATAATGCGAGATAGGTTCTATTGTATCCTTATTTTACAGGTAATAAATTAAAGTACACCTCGTAGCTTGAGACTTGGAGAGGTGGCCGACGGCGCGTAACGGGGCAGAAACGGAATGCATGTCTGTTGGACTCAAGCACTTCACCTCTAACTGGCAAACATTTGTTCAGTATAAAGCCACTTAAGGATTCTGTTGGTCATTAAGGAACAGACTTTTTAAAGTATAAAAATAATAGAAGTTTGGTAGCTTAGGAACATAAAATGTCATTTATATTGTTTGAAGAAAATAACCAAAAAGCTATAGTTGTATCATAATTTTACATAATGTTTTCAAATAGAAAAAAAATGCTTGGAAGTCCTTAGAAAACTTCTAGTAATTGAGTGGATCACTGTAACTCTAGTCACGTATACTTATTGTTGTAAAGTGTAGCAGTATTTTATTCTTCAGATTTACTATTTATCAATGTGTATTTTTTCTTTATTTTAATCCACTCTTCATCTCATTTTTTAAAAATCTCGTTGTCAGACCCTCCGCCTGTGTTACGTGTTGATGACCGGCAGCGCCTGGCCCGGGAGCGACGTGAGGAACGGGAGAAACAGCTAGGTACCCCAGGCCCTGTGTTCACAGCCCTGATTTGGATGGACGTCACTATAATACCGTGATCTCTTGCATACCTTTATGAACTTTGCAGGTGGATTAGGAAGGAGAATTTAATATGTGATGATACAATATAAACAGAGGGCTAAGTTTTAAGTAACAATAAACTCTAGCCTCAGGATTAAGGTCCTCTTTTTTGCAATCACAGTTTCATGTGGCACTGGAGGGAAAGATATATGAGTGGAGTGATGGTACAGCTTACGTTTTACTACCGAGAAAGGCAAGGACAGTAAACATATGGTTCTTTTAAACGTGAAAAGTTATGAGATTATACACTGCTAGGGCACTTAACTGCCTTCTCTGCTAAAATAATGCTGCCGTTGAACTTACAGACAGGTGCTACCAGGCTGCTGCCAGGAAAAGCATGTGCTGAGGTGTCTGATTTTTCTCTTATTACCTAAGGCTCTTGTGAAAGATTAACAACTGTAATATTTGCCATATAATCACTGGAACTTGGGTCATAGGACTAGCTTAGCAGGAAGCTGAGACTAGAGCACTTAGAGATTGTCTGGAACATTGGGCAAGGAAGCAGATGCCAACCCCTCCTTTACTTTGATGTCCATTTATGTAAAGTTGCTAAAACAGGATACTTTCTTGAAATATACCTGAACGATGTAGCTTGAAAAGATAAAATGCCTGGTCAGTATGTGTGTGTACAGAGTGCCTGGTATTTTAAAATTAGACTGACTTAGGGTATCAAAATTTTCCCGGCAGGTGACTTGTAACTTCTTAAAGTTGAACTGTATTTTGTAAGAGTTAATGTTTCAATTGGGGACTTATATCTCATCCCTTTATTAGTCTTACTCCAAAACCCAAATGTGTGAAGTAGTCGAAGTTGATTTTTAAGTCTTTTGCTATTGTTGACATCCTTTCAACTCGGACTTGTTTCTGTCCTTTGCCATAATGGCCATAGGATGTCATTTATTTTGCTTCTGAGGTTTTCAGGCACAGATTTCAATGGCTTACTGGAAGTGAACGTGCTCTGCTATTTTTCTGTGCCTAGAGTTTCGTAGGTTCTTGGGGAGCAGGCTGTCTGTGGTCATGATGGCTCTCCCTTCCTCCTGTGAATATGCCTATTGCTCTCTAGTAAGATTGCTTTGACAAGTGAGCCAGAACTCTGAGAGAGAGGGTGAAGGCAGAGCTGAAAGATGGAGTTGAAACTGGAAGATGAGTAAAAATAAGAAACTGATTACCATTTTAGGGTGGCTGTTATTTACACTCTGTTTTCAAGTCCATGACTGTGTCCTTTCCCTCTCCACCCCATCAGGTCTCACACCTAGAGATCTCTTTAGTTATAGTGTGGATTCATATCTGCTTGAATAGAAGTAGTTCCTAGGTCAGGAGATTATTCCTTTATGGTTTAAATCACATTGTGAATTAGCTTTTCCATACTTAACTCACACCTTTCCATTTGGATTTCTTTATCTTACAAAACCAAGCATTAGTTTTTTGTGGAAACCATGAATATGCTGCTGGTGAAACAAAAATGTCTTTACTTATCCTATAAAGATGTAAGACTTAGACTTTTGAGCTTGCAGTTCTCCCTAAAAGTTGCCTAGCTTTGTATATTGTGTGACTAGATTTTTTTCTTAATATGCAGTGCCATGTTTCAATTCATATTGATAACAGAGGACATGACTCATTAGTTTACATATTCAAAAACTGTGTATTTCATATATTGTATTTAAAAGACTACAAAAAGATGAATAAAGGTTGACACTCAGCCCTCTAGAGCTAGGTGTAGTCTAGTGGAAGGCAGATAAGCAAATAGCAACTATTAATATAACACAGAGCAATGCATCCACTGTGAATGGGTATGCGCCAGGGGTATTGAGAGCCTGTAGAAGTGCCTAACCCAGCCTGGCTCTGCCAGGTGTCACCCAAGCTCCCAACTAAAGAATGAAAGGAGCCATTCAAAGGGATAGAAGAGGGACTATGGGGCAATATGCAAGAACAGGTGGAAAAAAGACATTTGCTGAGAGCTCCAACATGCTTTTCAGATTATTATGTGATTATATAATATTTAGATGATCGTATTTTATTATTACAGCTTAACTTTTTTGGTGAGCCAATAGATATACATAGTTTTGCTCCTCTCTCTCTCTCTCTCTCTCTGTGTGTGTGTGTGTGTGTGTATGTGTCTTTGAAATGGGATCTTGTTACGTTGCCCAGGCTGGAGTGCAATAGCTGTTCACAGGTGTGATCACAATGCACTGCAGCCTTGACCTTGGCTCCATTGATCCTCCTCAGCCTCTTTAGTAGCTGGTACCACAGAATCACATCACCACACCTGGCATTTTTCTCTTTATTCTTACCCCTGCTGTGAAATATCATAATTTTTTTAAATTTGATCTCATTCCTTTTTTCAATTGTCAGAGTCATAATTTTAAAGAAAATACATTAATTCGAACGTTTTTCTTTGCATGAATTTTATTTTCTTTACATTGTAGAGCTGTGCCTTTTTGCCTATTTTTTTTTCCCCATTTAAACCATCATAGTCGGAACTAAATCTTGAGAGGCTCCTTTCAATCTTCATAAATACAGGAATGAGCATATATGCAAATATACATGCATATATGATATGCATCTGTAAAAGAGCCATTTAAAATTCAACATCTAATTTCAGCTGTGCTTTAGAGTACATGAGGGTGATTTCTAAAAATTCTTCACTACCAAAAGAATATCAAAGGGTACACCTGATCAACTATCTATAAACTGTGCTTTATAGAAGCAATGACAGCAGTGGAATTTTTTTTTAAAGAAAAAATTTTAAAAGCTGCCACTTAATAGGAAATCTTTGGACTGTGCTTAATTTGAAAACAAAAAACAGTTGGTAATGTCAGCTCTTACCGACTTTCAAACTTTAAAGTTTTCAAGTTAAAAAAATTGGACACCATTCCACAAAAGCTGGCGAAGCAAAGTTTAAAATGAATAGCCAGTGAGATTGGCTATTTACTGTTGGACATGGGTTGAAATTAACATTGAAATCATTAAAGATTGTTTTAATCCACATATTTTAAAAAACAAGGTGGAGAGAGGGAGAATAAAGGTCTGATTATTTTGTTCTTGGTGGTATGGCATGTTTGTACTATTTTGCAAACAGAGAGGACCTATTAATAACTTCCTGTGGGTTAAATCTCTGAGTCATGCTTTGATGCTTTTATAGTAGGATTATGTCATGTAGGCTGCTCTTTCTGCATTATCCTTCAATTTTTCACAAAATCAGGCATAATTCTTCAAGTATCAGATTATTCCGTCAGTTTAATTGGGTACTTGTACTTTAAAAGCTTTATTTTTCTTTTTTAAAAGCTTTGTACTTGGTAAAGTCTCTAGCCACCCTATTCCATCTGATTCTATCCCCTCAAACTATCTCTCTTGCCTTCTGCATCTTTTTCACTCTCTCTCTTCTAAGCTTTAATTTTGTGTTTCCAGAAGTGGGGTGGGGAATCTCATTTGTTCTCACAGGTTCACTCTCCTGTTTAAATATGGATTCCACATTTCCAGCTACTTGTAAGGCAGTGGATGCCTCCCTGCTTCCTGAAACTCTCCTTCTATACAACTAAATTATTCATTATCTTTCACTCCAAAACGGACTCATCCTGGTGATTTCTGTGTCCCAATTAATTGTACCAATGCTTTTTGACCCTAAGACATTATTTCTTTCAGCCATTTTTTATGCTTCTGCTAAAGACCCTAGGTTCTTTCTGAGTAGCAGCTTAGCTATTACATCTTTTGCAGAATAAAACATTCTCTTCCTTGGCTGACCAAATGCTGTCCACTGACTAGTTAGTCCCTATCCTGACATATTGGGGCACTTGTAGCTACCCAGTGGTCAGTCTGGACTCAGCTGTTTCTCTAACTGGAGCTTCAGTTATCTACTATCAACTAGCCCAGTAGGTAAGTAGAAGTTGACATACTCCATCCCTGAATCCATTTAGTCAGAAATCTAGCAGAGTCTTATTTCAGATAACAGTCTGTGCCATTATATTGGCTGCCTCTGCCATTACCCTAGTTTGGACTAATACATTTACTGCCCTGTTGTTCTTATACTCCTAGCACTGTGTCAAAATTAGTGACAGTCCTTCTCTTCTAAATTCAGTGAAATAATATCAATAATGATAAACAGTAGTTATTGAGCACTAACTATGGACCAGGCAGTGTCCTAAACACTTCACTATATATTATCCCATTTAGCAACAAATTAGCACAGTGGTTGTCTTTTTTATTGTGTGGGCCTGCCATAATGGGTAATGTATGTTATTTAGTAGAATGTCACTTACTTTATTCATAAAATACTGTGATGATTTAGTCAAAGAAAATAACGGAATCTGAAAGATGAGATAGTTAATAGACCTTTTTTTTTTTTACTGCCCTATAAGCTTTTTTTTTTTTTTTTTTTTTTTTTTTTTTTTTTGATACAGTCTTGCTCTGTCACCTAGGTGGGAGTGCAGTGGCATAATCTCGGCTCACTGGGACCTCTGCCTTCCAGGTTCAAGCAATTCTCATGCCTCAGCAGCTGGGATTACAGGCATGTGCTACCATGCCCACCTAATTTTTGTATTTTTATTAGAGATGGGATCTTGCCACATTGGTCAGGCCAGTCTCAAATTCCTGGCCTCAAGTGATTCGTCTGCCTTGACCTCCCAAAGTACTGGGATTACAGATGTGAACCACCACACCCAGCCCCCATTAGCTTTTTAAGCCGTTTTTAGTATGTACAGGATCACCACAGTTCCTGTTAAAATTCATCCAGTAGTAGTGATACTGTTAAGTAGAGAGAGATCCCTGTGCTTTATTTATGGGTGATGGAGTTGTCTGAAGCTTCAGGAGTTGGACAGGTGTCCATCCAGTTGTCTTGGAGAAAGGGTGATTCTCTTTCCTCATGGAAGTATTAGTAAGATGCATAGGTGCTATGTTGACTCCCATTTGACAGAGGTTAAAATATA